AATATGAAGAGAGCTTCGAACCATTGCGAGGAGACAGGGGTGGGTGAGAGCAACGGGATAAAGAATACATGGGGGGTCATTCAAAGGGAGCTCGGGAGGACAACACGCCATCTAATGGACGGCAAAGGGAGGAGAGAGTAACAAGAGCACGAAGACGAGGGCAAAGCCCATTCATCACGAACGAAAATAAAGATGAGAGAAACAACATCATCCAACGCCTCATGTGACGCCAATGCTCTGTGAATAAGCATACCCTCTCAAATGGTCAAACAAATCCTGCACAACTGGATAGAAGATAAAGGTGCAATCGACGGAAGAGCAATCGTGGTAATAATAGAAGCAGGAGAATGAAAACACTTTGTGAGAACAGTTTGAAAGGGATCAAGCAGCCGAGGTGGACGGTCCTGCGGTCTCTTTCGGGATTTCAGGGGACACTGTTGGCTCTGGTGCCAACACGGGCTCGGTAGCGGGGAGCTGAGCAGACTCCTTCTGTTCAACGACAGGCACAGCTGCAGTCACCTCGGGGCTATGCGGCTCTTCGGGAATAGATGGGGGAAGACCAGCGCCAGGCAAGGGAGACACGGGCGAACGCATATGCTCTTCTTTGGGCTGTTCACGTGGGACTTCGACTGAGATAGGGTGGCCATTTGTCGGCTCCGTAGCAACGGGAGCAAGAGGCTGGCTGGTGAGGGAAGGGTCATGCTCTGATCGGGTGGGGCTCTTTGTGCGCTCACGATCGTCCTTAACACCGTCCCGAACCTGAGCGACCTTGGCCTTGAACTTTCCGAACAAACTCTTCTTCTCGGGCTCTGATCCTATGGAGGAAGTGGTGCCTTGAATGCCAGCATCCAAGCTCAGTGGGTGATTGGAGAGGTCCGTGCTTTGATAGTGACCGCTGCCGAATGAACTGGTGCTTTGCTCAGCTCGGGGATTCGTCGCTAGTAGGGGTGGAGACGCGAAACCTAGTCCGACTTGTTCGCCGGTGCGTTTGGATGACCGATGGAACCGCCAACTACGCCGATTTTCATGGCGAGCAACATCTTCAGGCTGATCCATATCAGACTGATCCGTGAATGATGAACGCGAGTTCAAGGAGGGTGTGCGCGAGTTGTGAGGTCGCAAAGAATGGTCAGTATGAGGTTGCGAAGTACCCTCTACGGGAGCCGGGCTCGAATCGAAAGTGTTCTCTCGGTTGCCGAGTGTGGCAGCGGTTGGTGGTCTCGGAGTGGTGTCACCAACAGCAGCTTCTACAAATCGGTTTTCATGCTTAGGTTCAAGATCCGCACTAGGATCTACACTCGAGGCATGGAGTGAATTAGCCGAGCTTTGCGCGCTTATGCTTGCACTACCGGGAATGCGCTTCTTCTTCAAGCGATTCGGCTGCCGAGGTTCTTTCAGTTCACTATCAGTGGGCGGTGACTTCGTGAAAAAATTTGAAAGTTTGCGCTCACGGCTCGGGGTGACAACCTGTGGGGGTGGAGCGACCGGGGGTGAGGCGACCGCGGTGTTGATATTCTCATGTGGCCTAGCAGTTTCGCTGAGGCTAAGACGTTCCGCAGTTGCCGGAGGCAATGGGCCATGGGTTGACGTGTGCACATAGACGTTGCCAGGAGTCAGCGGGGTTGTCGATTTACTAGGGGTCCGCTGCTCAGGACGTGGCTCGGAAGTCTGCTCAGGGACTGGTTGAGGGGCCGGATGAGAGACCGACTCAGGAATCGGTGCAGGCTGCTCGGGCTCTTCCCGCACTGACGGTGTTCGACTTGTCGATCGAGAACTCTGATGAGAAACAGAAAGGCCAGAAGGATTGTTCGATCCAGTGTCGTTGGCTCGCGCATAACGTGCAGAGGTCAAGACGGGACCCATCTTTGAGGGCAGAGTGTTGCTTCGGTGGACACCACCGCCGCCGGCGGTGGTTGAGGTGGGAGTTACGGGGCTTTGAGCGTTGTTAGAGTGGCGGGAGTTGCGCGATGAAACGGAGACATTTCGTCGGATACTGTCTAATTTGCGATGGCTTTCCGTGTTCGCACTGGCGTTGGATACCGATCGTCGAACAGTCTGGTGAGTTGCGGGTCGTGGGATCCCTGCCTCGACCTCCTTCATGGTCTGCTCATCGGCAGCCGTGCCACTCATTCCGAACAGGAAGTGATCCTGATTCTCGATCAAGAAGATCAACACATCCTGACTCAACTTATATTCCTCCGGTGACATATCATGCTGGGGGTGAGACAGCATGCCTGGTTGAAAGATTGCAGACAGATTGGCAGACGGCATGCGATTCTGATCGGACTTTGAGGCGAAAACCGCGAGAAGATCGAGGATATAGAGGAGCAGCTGCTTGTTCAATGGGGGCAGCTCGATGATGAGGTTCTGGTATGTCTCGACAGCCTTTGCGTGGTCGAACTTATCGGCATCGTTTGTGTCCTTGCCTTCTAGGACTTGTCGCTGGTAGATACGCAATGGTTCACGGAAGCGTTCATAAAACTCCAACGGCACGATGGGTTCGGGAAGCTGGTTCAGGTATCGGCGAAGTACGTTTGCTGCATCGTGGACGGTGTATCCGGACCAGTCGAGTCCTTTGCCATATCGCTCGGGGGAATCGAAGACCTCCTGCAGATCTTTAATACGTTTGGCTGATCCGTTAAGACGAAATATGCCCTCCACATCCGTTGCTATTTTTTTTTAAAAAAAATGTCAGCGACAATTCATCGAGGACAATTCATCGAGTATAGTAAGGTTAATGCTAACCTTTCTCCTTTAAAAAAACTCCACACTTTGCAACAACAATAGGCACGTATCCATATATGAAGCTCTCGCCATGATCGTTCGTTAAGGAGATTGCCACATTGGCATACTTGATGCTGACATTGAGCGCAATCCCGAAGATGCCGCGGGGTGCCTCTTCTGCGACAAATGGGTCAGCATACCAGTTCGAGAAATAACGAGGAACCTGAACAAATCAACTGAACAGCGAGCAAAGTCCCCAGCTCCGACATGGGGAATTACAGCAATCATCTCCTGTGCGACAAGGGGAGTATACCCCGAGGCTCAGGGGGATGTTGCGAACCGCCGCGAGCCGGAGCGCTCCAGGAAACATTTACGCGGTCGCCTGTGTTCTTATATCGCATTCACGAAATATGGCTTACCTTTCAATTCGTCTTTTCTAGTGCTTCGTTTGAACTGCTTCCACCATGAAGCTAAATCTCGCTTCGATGGCGGGGAGTTGGAGCCGACCGGATCTGGTGAGGCGGGGAGAGGGTGGACAGGGTCAGCGCCCGGGTGCGACTTGCCGACCGTCACCATGGCGAGTCCGGAGGGCGACTCGAGATGGAATCGAAGGTACTAAGAAGCGGAGAGGCGCAGAGAAGTGGGTGTGTCGATCGAGGGATTCGGGAAAGTTGAAGGGGCCCTGCGTCACCGCCCTCGTGTGAGAAATCCTGGGGCTGGGCCCAAAATAGCACAGGCACGTTTCCGAGGCGAAGCAAGAGCAGAGATGGGATTCGAGAACGAGAGACTGAGAACAAAGAGGATGGGAAGAAAAGGAGGGAAAGGATTTGAGTTGCGTGAGTCTGATGGATGAAGGGATGCGAAAGGGCTAAAAGGTCAGGGTTTCGAAAGGGTCAATGAGTCGGGGGAGGGGGGCACGAGCCAAGAGCCGAACACATATGACAGAGATTATTATCTGGGTTTAATGCCTTGAGTATTGTTAAGGGGAAGTTTCTTTCTCAGAACATGAGACTATGAATAGCACAATATAGAGACCCAAGGTTCCCGGGACAAGTTAAAGATGGGTCAGGGTCGCCTGTCATATAGATTAAATTAGATCAATATACGGAGTACAGGTACACAATGCTACAGGGGAAATTTTGGATGAGGATATCTCATTTGCTACGGAGTACACGGTCCTACAAATTATACGGAGTACAACGTAGATCTCCTACTACTAGCCACATTTTTGGAATTTCTAGAATTTGAGCAAAATGTGAAGAACTGCCCCCGCCTGGGTGTACTACGATAGTCTGGAACCAACGGGTCCTGGATTGTCTGGAACGTGTCTGGACCCTTTTAGGGGCATTTTAGGGGCATTTTTTTTGGAGATCAGTCGCTTATATCGGGTTTCATATCTTCCGGACCAGGTACCGATTTTGATTTTTTTTGGTTCTTCAAATCACTTGACTTTTGGGTTTACCCCATGACCAATGAAGTTAACGAAGTATACAGATTCCAAGGTTATCTCTTCAATTGGAGCATATACATTGCCACTTGGTCCATTGCGGGAAAATATGTCTCGGGTATAGGGAAGATCGGCTCTCGAAAGACGTAAGGATCTCCTACTAATTTTCGAGTCTTTGGCGTTATTTCGATCCTTTGTAGAGTCCATTCTGGGACGCATATTCTACACATAGGGTTTGACATCTTATACGTCATTTGTATTGGTTAAAAGTGTAAATGGCATAAAACAGAAAGAAGATTTTTTTAGGCCTGGGCCGTAACTTCCCATCCGCGGACACGAAACCGTTTAAACTACATGCAAAAAGTCAGTGAGGTGGGACTAGCTGTTCATAGCGTCATGAAGTGAGGTTGAAGAAATATTGGTGACGTTGATATATCACGTGAATAAGCTACTCCAACTTTAGTATATTTCTCCGATCGGATAAACTATCCTGCGGAATAGTCCTGGAGTAGGTAGAGCTAATAAAGCATCAGTATCGTACATCTATCTATCTGATACTCCTACTATGATAAATATTAATTTCTCATTGTCCAAGATATTATGTGAACGAAAAAATTATGAAATTAAGGACCACGTGGGCTATACAATTAACAAACACGCGATGTTGATTATATGGTGGCCTGGTATCTAAGGCACACAATTTTAAGTCGCGTGGGCTAATATTTCTCCGGCACCCGAGAAGCTCAGAACCAGCGGAGCTGGCAGCTGGCAGGAGACTTGTGGAAAGCATCTTACCATCAAAACATCTTGATATCATTCATCTATCACAATGGACGGGTAAGTACCTTCTTTGAACCTTCTTTACTTTCCTGTCGTGTTTTTTATCCCATTGTTCCTCTGGATCATTCTCTGAGCAAACCGCTAATACTCAAATCACAGACTTAACGCATCGGAACAGCGCGAGTTCGCTTCCCGCATGGAGCGGAAGCAGATGAAGGAGTTCATGACCGTATGTGCCTCCTAACTCCCCCGTCGGCGATTCAACTTTGCGCTTATCCCCTTGCCTGTGATCCCGTGTTTACCATCAACCACCTGTCTTCTGCTATGATCAAGATCTAACATCCTTTCTTTCAGATGTACTCCAAGATGGTTCAGCGCTGCTTCGATGACTGTGTCAACGACTTCACCACCAAGTCCCTCATCAACCGCGAGGAGACTTGCATTATGCGCTGTGTTGACAAGAACCTCAAGAGCTCCGCCCGGTTGAACGAGCGCTTCCAGGAGCAGAACGCCGCCATGATGCAGAGTGGCTCCATGGGAGGCAACTAAGCGTCTACTTTTGATAATAAAAAACCTATTGTCGATGACTATTTTCTGTTTTGGCATGCATTCGATGAATTGGGTGATTGGCGAGGCGGCTCCATCGACCCGGTTGTCTCCGGCCCGACAATGGCTTTACATGGAGGTTTAGAGAGATAACAGCGCGGTCGATGACCTATTTGGCGAGGAAGCAGACAGGATCGGCTCCTTTCCGTGTACCATAGAAACTAGCACGGGGGATATCTACCTCTCCTCTCCCGGTGCTCAAAATACAAAAGACTTAACCAAATCAAGGAAGATGTGTGACCATGTATATTGAACAAATTTGCAAAATAGAGCTTAGATTGGGTTACCTTTCTCTCCTCAAAGTCGATATCTATCCCTTGTTATGCCCAAGCAACTTTGCGGTCGTGAATCCGGAGGGCGCGCATTCATTTTCCTTTTTGGGTGGGGGGAGGGTTTGGCGTACAAACTCGGAGTTGAGGGCTGTCGGATATTTGCTGCCGTTAACAGTCCACTCGGTTTGCTTTCGATTCAACACCATATCTCCCATTATCGGTGCTGGGAGTTGTCGGATGGATATAACGAATGTTCCGCGACTAATGAAGTTTTCCGAGGTCGGCGATATGCTGTTTTCATGCTGTTTTTGCCATAACATTATTAGTCTTATGATCAAAATACGAGAGAATAAAAATGCATCAAGGACCTCACCTAGTTGATTATACCTCTAGGGTTATATACATAGTGCTTACCTTGTATATATGTACAACATAGTGCACTCAGGTGAGCATATAGGGTATGTATACCCCCCCTATCAGACCTTCCCCGCGGAACACGGAAGCCTTCCCGATCACGTATATTTCTATTTGAACGGGAAGTGGCTTATCTTGAATTTCTCCAAGTGGGGAGAATCTTGGAAATGGTATGAGGGGAGTTCTAAGCTGTCACGGATCTCCAACTTCTTGATGCTTTTTATCTTTCCCCTCATACCCGGATCCACCCCCCACCCTTCAAAAGCCCGTCATTTTCCCCTTCTCTTCTTCTTCCACCATATTCTTGTGAGTGATTTTTTCCCCCTTGGCATTTTTGAACTTGCTAACATTGTGCTAGTTTGGAGATCAACATACACAATGGCCAGCACAGTAGGACAGGTAAATTACTATTCTCTCTTTTTTATTAACTGAATAACTTGGCTGACTCCGGGAATCTACAGACAATCACTTGCAAGGTAAGCTCGATCCGACCACCCCGCAAATATGACGTCGACCAGCACAGCTCGAATTTGTGAGTCATGGAACAGTGCTGAACAATTGACAGGCTGCCGTCGCCTGGGAAGCCGGTGCGCCTCTGTCCATTGAGGACATCGAGGTTGCTCCCCCAAGGCTGGTGAGGTGCGCATTAAAATCCACCACACCGGTGTCTGCCATACCGGTAAGCCCCGCCATCAGCCCCGCCCTCTGACACGGAAAAACAAATACAATGCCGAGGAAAACCCGATCTATCGCAACAATTTATTGACATGTCTCAGATGCCTACACTCTTTCCGGCAAGGATCCCGAGGGTGCTTTCCCCGTCGTTCTCGGTCACGAGGGTGCCGGTATTGTCGAGTCCATCGGCGAGGGTGTGACTTCCGTTAAGGTCGGCGACTACGTCGTCGCTCTCTAGTACGTTCTCGGCTCCGATCTCGGCGTCACAATCCACTGACAATCGTAGCACTCCCGAATGCCGTGAATGCAAGTTCTGCAAGTCTGGCAAGACTAACCTCTGTGGTAAGATCCGTGCCACCCAGGGTAAGGGTGTTATGCCCGATGGCACCTCCCGCTTCAAGGCCCGCGGCAAGGACCTCCTGCACTTCATGGGTACCTCCACCTTCTCACAGTACACCGTCGTTGCCGATATCTCGGTCGTCGCTGTCACTCCTAAGATCCCCACCGATCGATCTTGTCTGCTCGGTTGCGGTATCACCACCGGTTACGGTGCTGCTGTCGTGACTGCCAAGGTCGAGGAGGGCTCCAACGTCGCTGTCTTCGGTGTCGGCTGTGTCGGTCTGTCCGTTGTGCAGGGTGCCGTTAAGAACAAGGCCGGTATGATCATTGCCGTCGATGTCAACGACGGTAAAGAGGCCTGGGCTCGCAAGTTCGGCGCCACCCACTTCGTTAACCCCACCAAGCTCTCCGGAAAGACCATCCAGGAGCACCTTATTGAGATGACTGATGGCGGCTGTGATTACACCTTCGACTGCACTGGTAACGTCGGTGTCATGCGTGCTGCCCTCGAGGCCTGCCACAAGGGTTGGGGTGAGAGCATTGTCATCGGTGTCGCTGCTGCTGGTCAGGAGATCGCCACTCGCCGTAAGTTAACCCCCCATTGTTTCTCACTTCCCAATGTATATTCTCCTTGTCTAACACATGTCACAGCATTCCAACTCGTCACTGGTCGTGTCTGGAAGGGATGTGCCTTCGGTGGTATCAAGGGGCGCACACAACTGCCTGGTCTCGTCGACGACTACCTCAACGGCGAGCTCAAGGTGGACGAGTTCATCACTCACCGCCAGTCGCTAGACGGTATTAACACCGCCTTCGATCAGATGAAGGAGGGTGACTGTGTTCGTTGCGTCGTCGACATGCAATAAATGCAATATTTTGCCGATAAAAAATAACTGATGTGAAATATGACTTTAATTATTTCTTTGGATTCAAATATTTTCTACATAACAGTACAATTCATGCGGGGACATGGTCCTTTGTAGGACTAAGGCTGTCATCAAGGTCCTCAACCCCGCGGCACCTTGAGGGTGACCTCGGGAGATGTGTAAATCATGATATCAGCTCAATGGGTTGTCAAAGGCAATGATATCACTAAAGCTGTCGATCCAATGCAAATCTTAGGATGATATCAGGTCAATACCACGGTGTCGTAGATCGATTGACGGATGATCCAAACCACATAATCATAGCATTAGATAGTCTTAGGCCCTCAAGCTCGCAGGTGATGATGCCTGAGACTACCTTCTCTCTTCTTCTATTTTGGGTCTCAAGAGACTTCCAAACACTAAACACAATCTCTTTAATCATATCAATCGCCGCGGGACAGAATCAAAGATACCGCGCAGTTTATAACTGTGCCGGCGAGTGTCCGAAACCCCCACCAAGTCCGCACCAACGAGCTACTGATAAACACAACAATCTCGGTTCTACTTCGGAATAATGTCGCTGGCGCCCTATGATAGGCTGTATACTACCTGCATATAGCGTGATTAAGGTGCCGATGGGTCTAGGAGGGGCAGTCTTCTGTTATCATACTCCAACTCCGCTCGCCGCGGCGATGCCCGCGGCGATATCTATGAGGGGGGGTATATAGTCCACGATATGATAGTGTATTGAATCAACATGTTCCAAGTCTTCTTTATATCCAGTCTATCACATCAACTTTACTTGTGTTTATACTTTAAAGTCAAGTCTCTCTCCACCACCAAACCACCACACAACAATACCACCCCAAACACCCCAACACCTCTCTACAACATCATGACAACCTCAAAGCCAACAGACCTAAACCCGGTCACCCTACCAGCCCCCTTCTCCACAATCCCCCGAACTCCCCTCCTACTGGGCCCCTCACCAATCCACCCCCTTCCCCGCATAACCGCCGATCTCGCCGAAAACAACCCCCACCCGCACGTAACCATCTACGCCAAACGCGACGACCTAAACTCCGCCTACGCCTACGGCGGCAACAAAACCCGCAAACTCGAGTACCTCCTCGCGGACGCCCAAGCCCAAGGCTGCACGACCCTCGTCTCCATCGGCGGCGTGCAAAGCAACCACACGCGCCAAGTCGCCGCCGTCGCTGCGCGCTCCGGACTCAAAGCCCGTCTCGTGCAAGAGCACTGGGTCGACTGGACCGATCCCGGCTATGAAAGCACGGGCAATATCCAGCTGTCGCGGCTGATGGGTGCCGATGTGCGACTCGATCCGTCGGGATTCGGCATCGAGCATAAGAATACCGCGGCGGCGGTTGTTGAGCAGGCCAAGGCCGACGGCGAGAAGCCGTACTATATTCCTGCTGGTGCGTCGGATCATCCGCTCGGTGGACTTGGGTTTGCGCGGTGGGCGTTCGAGGTTAGGCAGCAGGAGGCGGAGATGGGGGTTTTCTTTGATACGGTTCTTGTTTGTGCTGTTACTGGGTCGACTTTTGCCGGGATGATTGCTGGGTTTAAGTTGTTGGAGAAGTTGTATCCGGAGGATGCGAAGAGGAAGGTTATTGGGATTGATGCTTCTGCGACGGTTGAGGCGACCAAGGCGCAGGTTTTGCGTATTGCGAAGAATACTGCTGCCAAGATTGGGCTTACGGAGGATGATATTACCGAGGAGGATGTTATTCTTGATGAGCGGTACCATGCTGGTATTTATGGTGTTCCTGATCGTCAGACTTGGGATGCGATTGAATATGCGGCGAAGATGGAGGCGTTCATCACGGACCCGGTTTATGAGGGAAAGAGCTTTGCGGGTATGATGGATATGATCCGTCGTGGGGAGATCAAGGGTGGGAATATCCTGTATGCGCACCTCGGTGGGCAGTTGGCCTTGAATGCTTACTCCGAGCTTGGTCGGACCAACGAATAAAGACATAAATAGAGACATGCATGTATTTAGGAAATGGGAAGACACTTACGTATATAATCTACGGTTTTATGAATAGAATGTATGGTTGTAGCAATTTAGGTATGTATTGTTAAACGAGTGACTGTAGTTGGCGCGTAAAGATGATCAAACTAGGAAAGCATGGACAACGTCCTTTAGAACAGCTTGTGCTCAAGGGTCATCTCCGACTCGGGCTGGAGACCAACACAAGCACGGAAGATGTTGATAAGAGCGGAGCGCTGCTTGCCCAGGGCGTTGACGACCGGGGTACCGGGAGGGGTCAGGGGAGCCTTGAGCATGTAGCTGAGAATGCTCAGGACGCTGTGGAAGCCCTTGTAGTCTTCACCCTCGCTGTCAGACTGCCAGCTGATACGGGTCATCATCTCGGCGAGCACAACCAGATCAATGATCAGGGGCGAGGCCAGAAGCGAGTCCTCACAGATGTTGAACAAGCTGATGGTCTGGTGGCCACCCATGAAGATCTCGGCGTAGTACTCATCCAGAGCACGCTTGTTGTCACCGACAGCAGGCATGTACTTGATGACGACAGTGTGGTCAGGGTGCTCATCCTTCTCGTAGAGAATGTGGTTGGCCGCGACCATGTCGTCCACAACGTTGGACTTGGAGATCTCCTTGGAGCGGAACTGCTTCTGGGAGCTCAGGTTCTTGCCGTCATTGTTGCCCAAGTGGTTGTAGCTGGCAATGGAGGTGAGCTTGATACCAGCGTTGATCAGGAAGTCAACGAGGGCCGACTTCATCTTGGTCTGGCCAGACTTGAAGTCATCACCGCCAATGAAAGCACGACGCTGCTCGGCCAACTGAAGGGCACCAGGGACAAAGGTGTTCTGGGGCGAGCCGTTGATGAACGGAGTGTTCTCGAGGATCGCAGCCACAGCGAACACGGTGGAAGGAGCAACCTCAAGGTGACCGGTCTTGATCGAGTTGATCAGGTTGTCGGCAGTGTCGTTGACACCGGGGATGATGTCGGCGTACCGCTCAGTGTTGGCAGTCCACA